CCGTACCGCCGTGGGATGGGGGGCGATGGCGACGGCGACATCAAGGCCCTGTTTAAAGATTTGTGGGACGGCTTTTGCTCGAACGACAATGAACCTGTGCTCGAACTCCTCGGCCACGCTGGCGACATGCTATCGGGTTCTCAAATCCTGGATCTTCTTAAACTGAAAGTTGGTCGAAAAAGCCCTTGGTTTTGTAAAGACGGCGAGTTTTGGAAACCGAGTGTTCAAAAACTGGTCACGCTAGGGGCCGATCTCCACGATACATCATATCCCGTTTTCGGGATGGAAAAACCGGTATTGGGGTCCGAAATGATGCACGGCAGCGAAACCTGCCTAACCGCCTGTATCGAGCCCGCCTCAGTTGCTTACGCGTGTCACGACAACAGAATGTGGAATCCCTTGGACCCCGACATGATTTCTGCCCTCTTGGAAGTCGGCGCCCCTGTCAACCTGCCGAACAGGGCGGGAAAAACACCTCTGCACCTCGCTCTCACTGTACTACGGGACAAGTGCCTCAAAGGTAGCCGTGTCAACCCGCATGCAGCTCATCCCGTCGCACTGAGGTCTGGCTGGAGATTCGTGTCCGTGCAGGAATTGTCGGACCTCTTGTGGGCTACAATAAATTGTCTGCTGGGCCACGACGCGTCTCTCAGCGCTCAGGATCTCGATGGAAAAACCCCTATGGATCTAGCCATTGAGCTGTCTCGTGACAGCGACGTGGACATTGCGCAGCGTGGTGTTGCCGCCCTGAAGCTTCTTGAAGACCATGCGGCTGCTCGGGCCCGTCTCAGACTATGACCGGTTGGTATTATGTTAAGCGCGCTGTCGTAACTGGGGGGTTCAATGCTATGGACGATGATCTGTGGATACAACAAGAACATCCATGCTTCAGTAGGGGTCCTTGTCATTTGGCAGAGAAGAGGTTACCTGTATGGAGAGGCGGGCAGGGATCACGGGTATGAGGGAAGTCTTCTCGAGCCACCAGGAGGGCTACTCTCCAGACCCCAGAAACCTGTCAGTCGAGATGCGCAAGCAGGGTTGTAAGTACGAGTAGTTATTTCTTCAGCAGAATGAAGGCCTGTCAAGTTACGAGGGTGGTCCCCTGTTCATTTGCTAGAAGCCTGGAAACAAGACGGCCGAGAATTCAAGGCAGAGTCGTGAGCACATGCAAAGCAGGAAAGACTGACACTCTGTGTATGTCAGATCTGCTTCAAGAGCGGGAAGAGCCCTAGAAAGACAAGGAAGGAGTTTGTTCATCAGGTACTCTGAGTCCAGGGCAGACGAGTCAAAAAAAAGTCCGCCCCAACATGTAATGGCCGCCTGTGTACAATAATTCTCCCTACACGGGAACCCTTCATAGCTCATCCTCAATCTCGCTGGCAAGCGAAATCGCAGCCTCGCCCAATGCAGTCACCGCACGAGCCCGTGAAATCGCCGAGACGCATCCGTCCTCGACGTGCTTCAGCAGATACGTAAGAACTCGGAAGCCCCATGTTCTCCCCCCCTCCGTCGCCATGATGTCAAGTAGGATGTCAACCGCCGTCTTTTCTTCTCCGTCGGGAATATCGAGGGACGCCTTGTGTCGCAACATCAGGCGGAGCGATTCATATAGCGTGCAGGATCTCGCAAATTTCAAGAGAGCACTACTATGGATCCCGAGCAGGCAGTGGATAGGGGTCTGTCCTCTGCTGTTGCGCGTATTTGGATTTGCCCCAAACTCGAGAACAAGGGAGAGGAGTTCCAGATCCTCCATGAGCGACCCCGTCCAAGCGAGGATGGTGGCCGTCAGACAAGTCTCCACATTACCCCCATCACAGTTCCTCGACGACAAATGAACAGGCTGGTCTACTTCCAATAGTCCGGCCAAGACAAGTTGACGAAACTGTCTCTCTTTGGTTCATCCATGTCGGGGATCGGAATCCCGGGCGGTCCCCTTCCCATCTAGACCTCTCCAATATGGCTGAGAAGCTGTAATGGTACCGACGAACTGCTTGCTGATAAAAGTCGCTTTCGGGAAGGATACGCGCAGCCGTCCAGTCGTCGTGGAGCATGGCAGAGACCATCGCCGCTTCATGATCCACAAATGCTTGTCGCCTCATGGCTTCGCGCAAGAAGATGATCAGGTGCTCATCGTCTGCGTGACCCTCGTCGGCCCATTGGTACATAAAGCTGTCGACCATGTCCCGCATGAAACGTCGGCCGAGGTCCGCCCCGAGATTAAGAAGGGCGAGACAAGCTTTCCAGCTCCTGTTGGCGATAGCAGAATCAAAGGGAGTCCTCGAAAAATGTGTCACCGCAGAGGTTACTGCATTTATATCAGCCCCAGCCTTCACCAGAGATGTGATAACGTCGATAGTCTGGGTGGGAGTGTCGGGTTCTCGGTCACGGTGTGACCACGGCTCGCCAGCAGCGTAATGGAGTGGTGTCACCCCTCCCTTTGCTTGAACATTGACGTGGTCCGATCCGTGGGTTTCGAGGAGAAGCTTGACGAGATGGTGACTTCCCGCATATGCCGCCGCGTGCAGGGCGGTGGTTTCGGAGTCGGGATCTCTGAACGCGCCGGCTCCGAGACGAATCAAGGTTTCTGCCGTTGTTACTTTCCCGTGACAAATGGCCGTGTGGAGCGGCATCCAACGAGGAAACCCGGGGAGACTCAAGTGCACTCCACGACATGCGCAGAGCCCAGTCGCTGCAATGTCCAGCTGAGCGCCAGCTCTGAAGAGCCACTCGACGGCTTGACCCTGTCCCCCAGCGGCCGCGTATTGCAACGCCGTACCGCGGACATTGGCCATGACGGCCATGATCGGCTCAAGGAACATGCATTCTTCGCAGTCCGGACAGAGGCTGGGGAGGAGTTCGAGCGAGACACTTCGGTGGTGGCCTGCTTCATTGACCAAGGCGCCTCGCGCAAGTGCCTTCTCCATTGTCATAATGTTGCCGTTATACGCGACCCAGAAAAGAGCCGACGAGCCTTGGTAGTGAACATTGTAGTTGTACAGTCTTTCCTCGAACACGGCCTTGAGTGTGCGACTCGTTCGACAGAGTGCGGCAAGAGTGGCCGCGCACTCCTCCGGGTTCTCTTGTAGAGTCGCGCAGATCTCATGCAGAATCTCATTCGGCAATCGGGAGAGGCGGTCGCGGGGTTCCGCCGTGATCGAGTGCGTCTCCATTTTTTCTTTCTCAAGCTCAATCTTCCTCTTCTGGGCGTCGTTAGAATTTGAATACGTTTGCGCAAGTGACAGAATCCAGAATTTTGACTCACAGAGAGCAGCTTTGGGTATTCGGTTGTGATGCTCAACTTGTTGAGGCCGAAGAGAGGAGAGGCGCAAGGTGGATGGAGGAAAGAGTAGAAAAGTGAGAGCGGCTGCCACTGGTTATGGTGAAAAAAGCAGCGCTGGAAAAGCCCCACTCTGCACTTTTCTTCATCTGATGCGTCAAAAAAGATTCACTGTCTCGTTCCTTCCTAGGCTTTTCATGCCGAGGCAGTCGCTGCAAAAAAGGGAATGGGACATAAAAAATGTGGAGAATGCTTCAAATGAGGAAGGTACGCTTCTTGGGAGAGTGAATTGTTGACATCAGAGTTATCGGGGATATACCTAGCGCGGTCGACTTCTAATATACCTACCTAGTGTGGAGGAACGGCGGGGGAAAGTCTGCCTCGATACTGCTCGCGCTTATCATCGCGTCTGAAGCGGGTACTATATCTAGAGAGTTTCCAGGCTGAGAAGCCTCTTCTGCCCAAGTCATTCTTTCCTCACTGATGCAAGCAGACAGCAAAAACTTACTTCACCATCCGACCCCTTTGCCAAACATCAAGCACAAACCACTTCCACAACAAACGACGTTAGAGACGGAGGGAAGGCCGCTGATAATTCCAGCCCCCGTGGTGTTTTGTTTCCACGCTCAGTTCTATCCAGCTCCATACAACCCTCACAATCCCTCCCGAGCAAGGCTCACAGCCGCAACCTACGGCGTCGCCATCTCAGTCCTTCACAGCTCACCTCAATGTACACCAAAAACAGAAACCCCGAACCACCACCTCCACCACCCCTCATCTCCTCTCTACTTGCGTATTTCGCCCTGAGTTACAACCTCCCCAAGTTCCCCTTCTGCAGCCGTGCAATACCGATAAAGCGGCACCGCCTCCGCCACAGGCCTCGCATAAACATACCCCAACACGCCCTTCCTAGTATACCCCTTTGAAACCTTGACCACCTCCTCACTCTGATCAACCGTGTAGAAATGGATCCCCTTCAACGGGTGATGCAACACGTAAAACGGGATCGTGCCCTCCTGTTGCGTCTTGTAAATCCAAAACGCAATGCCCGGGGGGACGTATTTGGATTTCGGGGCAGGCGCGGCAAACCCGCCTGTGGGATCCGTGCTATAAAAGTAGTCGTAGTTGGCGTAGTTGCACCAGCGGTAGACGGGCGTGGTGAAGGGGAGCTGCTTGTTGTCGACGTAGCAGGCGATGCCGTCGTATTTGTAGTACCGGCGGCGTGCCTCGGCTTCAAGCGGGTCGTTGGGTTTGATGGTGTAGTGGTATGGCATTTTTTGTGCGGCAGAATGGGAGTTGACGGGCGGGTAGTTGAGACGAACGCTATGGCGCGAGATTCGGAACTGGTGATGGGTAAGGAGCCAATGATTTCCAGAGAAGAAGGCTTCATCTTCTTATACTCGAGGGACCCGGTGCCAGAACTGAGAACAGGAAATGGCAGAGGCGTATGAGTCCTATTCAAGACCAGCAGGCAAATCCAGCGCAAACACATCGAACTCAGAGAGCAGATCCAATCGACCAGTTTGTCCAAAAAGCACAATCAAAACAGGTCCAACGTTTGCTTTGTCTCCATGCCCGCTCGCCCACTCATGCCGCCGTGAGCCATGCCGTTTTAGCTGTCGATCTCCGCAGCGTCATCACCCATCGCCCATCTTCCCCTGGACCCACAAAAACAAACCACCTCCCTGCCCAACAAGTATCCCCCTGGGGCAAAAAGATGGTTTGCCCACAGCCAGAATTGAACTAGCGACCTTGTCATTACGAGTGACACGCTCTACCACTGAGCCAAGCGGGCAGATCCACACGACGAGGCCATCGCCGTGCGGATGCTGCGTCAGCCGCGAATCGAACGCGGGGCCCATCGATGGCAACGATGGATTTTACCACTAAACCACTGACGCTGGTAAGATTTATGATGTGAGAGGCGCGTCTATTCCCTTTTGCGCCAGTAGCTAGTCTGTTTGGCTAAACCGGCACCCCTTGTGGCGACGGTGTTCGGCGAGTACTGATCGTATCGTGCGAGAGGCTACTTCGCCCGCGCTCCGGGGTTTGATGATGCATATTTCTCTCATCCCTTGGCTCAGCCCCACTGCTAGGGTTGTCCGCTGGGACGCCAACTTCCCGACCGAACTCGGGGCTTGACACACCAGAGTCCCCAGAACTAACAGGACGCTGCTTTTGCTCTGCAGGCAGCGACGGCGACTCGAGCAGTTCACGATCCGTGGGTAACGCCGAGCCTGTCCCTGCTCGAACTTTTAGAGTCTCCAGGTACTCCGGCAGCGGGTCTGCACCGGTCCGGTCGACACTCGCAACGGTAGCGCACATGTCCGGGTCGCATGTCGTCCGCATGACGGTAGAGAACTTATTACTGTACGACGCACCGCTGAGCCACAAGCTTCCAATGCCCAGGACCACGATGACCAGTGTGAACCCTATGGCGAGGCCGTATGCCAGAAGCAGCCGCGACGGTTCGTAGCTGTACTCGTTTTGCGTGGATCGAATCGTCACGTTTGTCATCAGCGCTCCGTCGCGGAGGAAGACCTGCTGGCTGAATAGCGCGAGCGTCATGTTTTGGAACATCTCTTCGATAAGAGTGCTCAGCGGTCTGCCGAAGTTTGGAGACACCATCGCTTGCGCGACGGTGATGTTGTATGCCTGTTTGTCGCTGGTAACGATCGAGAGTTTATATGTGGGAAAGAGCTCAGCAGAATAAGCCAGATCAGTCTGCAAGAAGGCCCCGGTCTCGTGTGGCCGCCCGTCGGTTCCGTCTGTGTAGTACCGTCCGATAAGGATGTTTCCCAGACACTCCATGAGGGCTTAATAACTCAGAGGAGGGCCGTATATGGAGAGATCGAGGAAAACGTCTGGGAAACTGTCGAGCAGGCCCACGCTCACTGGGTGGGTGTATCGAGTGTCGGCCACGGTGATGCGCTGGCCGTCGACGGGAAAGTTGTAGTCCACGGTATACGTGGAATTCCATAGAGAACAGTTAAGAACAATCATGTCTTCGCCATATGGGGGTTCAGTGTCGACAGCGACGAAAACAGATGCCGGCTCGTGGCCATAGGGCCCAAAAGACCCCACGTTGGAATCCAGGACCCAAGGCCCTCTTCCATATGCAATACTTCCGTTCCCAAAAGGTATGATGGAGTCGCTAGACGGAGGCCAGGCCATGTAGTAGTAAGAAGCGCCGCACTCCTGGGTGGAATAATTTCCATCGTTGATGACTGGGCAGCCCATGACAGGGATGAACCCGTTGAGAATATCGACCGAAATCTTCTCACACTTCACGGCTGGGGCGTCAAAGTGTAACCGGTATGAAGAGTTCTCAGCGGGGGAGGGAATATTCGGGACTGCACCGTGCATTGCAGTGGCCAGGGCAAGACGTGAGAGCGGCTGGCTGGCGCCATCATACCAAGGCGTGGAGAACGCTGAGGAGTTTGTACCCATGTGAGGTCCCGCTCTTGACGATATGTATGATAAAGCAGCCATTGGTGCCGTCGCAAAGTCGATAGCCGCCATGGGATGCATGACGTACGATTCGATCGGAACAGACAGGATGGTGAGGGTGGCCGGCGGTACGATGGTTGCGAAAGGCACCAACCATGAGACGGCAGCGATGAAGAACAGGAAGGGGTTGGCGCGAAGAGCAGCGAGATCGAAGAAGCTCAGCGGCGACCCAAGGAGGTCGGCGAGGGAGTCGACAGCAGCCAGGGGAACCGCGGTGCGGAGCAGTGTCCGCCAGAAAAGTTGGAAATACGCAGCGCCGATGGCGATGACCAGCGCGGCTCGAACAAGGTAGGATAAGCCAGTGCCGATGCGGATGTTCATTTGTTGGTCGTAACTCGCGTCACTGACGGCTTTGCCATCCAGATCTCGATAGAAGATATGATGCCCCACCGCAAACAGCGCTCCGGCGACAAGCCCGAGGAGCATCGTCACCGGTGTTTTCCAATGGACCGCTGTTGGCTTGACCTTGTCCATCTCGTCCGGTGTAGTGCTGTTCGTCTCGTCTGGTTTAAGCTCCATTTCGCCCGTGTCTGCCATTGCAAGGTTGAATGCCGTAACATAATGGCGGTGGACGGAAAGATGGTCCAGAAATATGTCGCAGGCGGGCAGGGCAGCAGACGGTGGGTGCCAGGGAGCTGAATTCGAGGCTTTCTTGGAGATTGCTAGCGTCCTGCACCTCTATGCAGTGCATTATCGCAGTTGGCCCATTGGCCATCCTCGGGCACCGCAAGGCTTTCATCACTGCCCAGATACGCAGCATGGCGGGATTGAAATCGGCGAACGAATGGCGATTGGCGGGGGCAGGTTGTGATTTGCTGAGAGGTTTTCAGGTGAGTCGACGATTTCCAATGGCTGGCTGAGCTGCTGTGAGGAGACGGGGCCAAGACCTGCGGCATTTCAGCAGGTTCGGAACGCCCATTGACCCGCACCTTTTGCTCCGGAGCCGCTCCTTCTACTTTGAGTCTTGAAGGAGATAACTACCTTAGGTAGAAAGAGCTCTTCCTCACAACCTTCGGCCAATTGTTCTTTTGGACCGTGACCCACATCGCACATTCTCCTTTGCCACGACAAAGCATGTCTGAAGCTGACGGGTAGGTAATGATCATCCAAACATCCATTATTAGTGCCAATCGTTTCTTTTGGCCGGAACATCGTTACCACGAGAAGTAAAAGCATCCAAAACTTCTCACCCACCGCTACTATTACTCACATAAACCACATTCCCTTTCCCACTCCCCGTATCCTCTTCACCCACAAATCTCACCGGCCTGCTCCTCCCCATCTCCCCTATCCCCTCCTCCACACTCGCACTACTCCCCCTCGCGATCCTCTCACCCCTGACCCTCACAAAGTCCACATCCTCCCCGTCCCCCTTCGACCCCAGCAAAATCCCACACCTCCCCAATCCCCTCTCCAGCGGCCCTTTCAAACTCGGACTACACGCCCCAAAGACCGCAATAAACATCTCGGCGACCGTCCACGTCCCGATACTTACGGCATTCGCCCACGAATCCTGCGTCATATCATCCGGCGCCCAGCTTCCAACCATCACCGCCTTCGCAATACTCGCCCCCGAAGCCAACAACCCCACACCGGTCAGAAAACACACCAACACCTTCTCCCTCCTCGGTCTCCTCAGCCTCGACAACACCGCCACCATCGGCGCTAGCGAGAGCAGCACATCTGTCACGATGTTCACCGCGCTGCCGATACTCGCAACAATCAGGTCCGTCTGCAGCGTCAAGCAAATGGCATGCGGCGTGGAATAATCCCACGCGGCAGAAAGCGGGCGACACTTGGTGAAGGTCCAGGTGGTGTTTGCGGCGAGGTAGACGAGCTGGGTGGCGATGGTGGCGAGGATGAGGGGGCGCCACCAGGTTGTCGTGGTGGAGAGGGGGTGGAAGCGGGCCAGGAGGGTGAGGGCGATGGAGGTTTTGATGAGGGTCATGGCGAGATTCCAGAGGGGGACGGAGAGGTAGGCGAGCTTGATGTCGTGGATGAATTCGGCGTAGGTGAGAAAGGTGGGGGCGGTGTGCATTTCGGGGGTGAGGAGGGCGAAGGAGGTTATCGCTGTCATCTGGAAGGGCGTCAGTAATGTGAATGGCCACGAGAGAAGGGAACGTACGAAGCCCAGGGCGATGAGGAGGTCATCCCAGCCGACGCGCCATTGCGGCCATGTGCGGATGTAGCACCGCGCCGAAAACGAGATGAGACCGAGAGCGAGGAGCGGGACGGTGACGCCAAAGTGGACGCGCGCGAGGTAGGCGGCGTGCGGGGTGATGGGGATGAAGGCGCCGGTCGGCATCGGCGGAGGCCCGGGAGTTGTCGAATTTGGGGCGTCCATGCCGAATGCGCGCCGGACATTGGCAGGATGAACCCTAAAACCTAAAGACCTTTGCCAGGGGGACTAATGCTGCATGTCAAGTTTGACGTCGGGAGATCGAAAGATGCAAAAAAGAAGACCAGAAAAGCGCGACTGATGAAATGTTTTCTCTTTGACCATCGCACAGACTCTGCACTGGCAGACACATCCAATCTGACCAGGGCTGAGATGCAGGCTTGAGGCACAGTCGCAGCCACGGAACACGAGGGGAACGCTACGAACCGGGATCCGACGCGGGGCGGTTAGGTAACGCGAAATGAGATTGGTGCGGAGCGCGTATACCGGCTCGCGGGCCTCTTGCACTCATTCCGGAGGAGCAACTCCTTTTGCGAATTCGTGCTGGTCGTCCGAGGCAAGTAAGAATTCCATGACCGTGGAACAATTCGATTGGAACGTGGTTGCAAAAACGTGGTGATCCCAGCCGAAGCCGGGAGGCTCCTTCCCTCGTGTCCCACACACTGCCAGGCCGCCGAAGCGGCTTCCGTCAATCGGTCCCGTACCCCCTCCAGCAGAGCACGGCACCCGCTATGAACAGCGACCCCTCAGTGGCGTACACCGATCTCCCCGCGGCATCCAAGCTGAGCCATGTCGTTGGCCACATCATTCTTGAGAAGCCCAGCCCGAGCGCACACCATCCCAACAAGGTGATGAGAATGGGCCAGCTCGGATGCCATCTGTTGTGATGCAGCACAATTGCCAGGCCCGAGACGAAGAGGATGCAGCCGTTCAGGTAGATGACCACCGGGTCGCGACTGGGGAAAATCGACGTGTTCTTGAACTCGGTCACTGCGAGGAGGATTGCGGTTGTCCCCAGGAGGCGGGCGAGGAAGGAAGAGGGCGTGGAAGACATTTGCTGCGAGTTTTTTGTTGAAGATCGTCGAAGTGGAAGAATGAGTGAAGTT